AAAGCCGATTGTTGATCGGCCACAATTTCAAGCAATGTAACTATATATATTTATATAACAAAAACTTTCAGAACTTATGTAAGTCTTCTATGAGGACCTTGTTTTCCTGTTGGTGGTCCTTCCAATGATTGGAAAAACTGCTTTATTTCATTTTAATCAACTGAAATAAAAAAAACATTTCAACAATTAAACAAACAAATTTTAAATCAACTAAATTCATGTTCTTGTGAGGATAATACCCTATTGTTCAATTTTAACAATTTTTTGATGACAATTTTATTTTTCAAAATAAAATTTTTTAAATCTTTTTGCTTATTCCATATCATTATAGTTTGAAAGAAAATATAATTTTTATGAAAAGTACCAAATAAAAAAATGGAAAACCTTAAAAAGTTTCTTGTATGCTTAAATTAGATGTTGAGTCAGACAAGTCATCTCAGCCAACAACTAATTTTTTAAAAATTCTGTTTCTGATTCATTTTTTTTCTTAATGTTATAAATCTTTATCATAGTGGATGTAGGTTGTTTTTTTTCATTTAGTGTATTTTAAGTAAGTAGATACGCTATGAGCAATTAACTAGTGCTTATATCGTAAACAACAACTTATATTATTCAAAAACTCTTTATTTACATTTTTACTGTTTATCTTAAGTTAGGAAAGTTACAACAACCTTTTAAACTTTTCTTTGCACAATATTTGTAACTTTTTTTGCATATTTTTTATTTATTTTTTAATTTTGATTCACCTCCCCTAGGCCATGAAGACCACTACAGTTGAGGAGGCTACTTTTAGTTTTGGTTACAACCCTCTCTCAACTCTATAACTCCGAAACATGAACCTTGATGACAAGGCAGCTGCGCAGAGAAACTTCTGCAACAACATGGGACTCTCAGCAGCTGGTGAACTTTAACTCAAAATAAAATAATTAATTAAAGATAAAAATCTTTTTTTTTTTTTGGCTAACCGTTATTGCTACAATTTAAATCTTATATTTATGATTGAACACATTACTGTTCATAAATAATCTAAATCAATCTAAATCTTCCTATATTTATGAACAGTGATGTGCTCAATGAGTCATCTACCCTTCATCTTCTAGGATTAACTCTTACTCCAGATCTTTCTCGGAAACCATATATCAAATCCATTGCAAAATTAGCATCTGCTAAGGTTATATCTCTTTATCCTGCTCAGCACTTTCTTACTTCATATTCTATTCTTTTATCTCTATAAATCTCAAATCTGCCCTTGCATGGAATACTATTGCCATATCTGGAGCGGATCTTTGAATGATACCCTTTCTCTTTAAGACAAAGTTCAAAAATGTATTGCAAACATAGTTTGACCTGCACTTTCAGCCAAACTCCAACCATTGTCTCATCATCCTAATGTTGTTTCTTTTTCTTTTTTCTATAAATACTATAATGGGCGCTGCTCTAAAGAGCTAGCATTTCTTGTACTATCTACTGAAATTCAATATTGTGTTACTTGCCATTCAATAAGTCTCATCCTTTTACTGTGACTGTTCCTAAGGGTTCTAAAAAAATTCTTATTGGTCTAGTTTTTTTCCTCAAACATCAGTTCTTTGGAATTCGGTCCCTTCTTCTTGTTTTCCTGATACATATAATTTGCAATCTTATAAGTTATCATTATCTTGCTGCATATTACTTGCTAACCTCATGCAGTGAACACCATGCCCCTTAAATGTTTTTGTTGCTTATTTAAATTAATTCTAAAATAGAATATTGCAATAAAAGTTCATTTAACTAACATTCTGTTTGACAGAAATTGGCAAGCCAAGCAGGTTACTTATCTATCAAGTAACTGAGCTATCGAGCTATCAATTTAAATAAGTTTAAAACCTTAAACATCAGATTTAATTAAAACCTTAAACATCAGATTTAAAGAAAAGAAATTTAAAAAAAATAAATTTAATTCAAGTTACTTTATAATGTTCTAATTACATTAATTATAATTAAAAGGCCTAATGCACTTATAACTTTGTATAAATGCATTGCAGAATAAACCATAATCAAGGCAAAATTATTAGATTTATTAAAAATATTTTAAAGAATTTTTTTAGTAAATTTATGAAAAGATGGTTTTGAAACTGCTTTTTAACAAAAGTATCTTCTTTAACATTAATTTTTTGATCATAGAATGAACGTTGATTTTTTTTTTTTTTTTTTTTTTATTTGCATTCACTCCCAACAAGGCTGCAAGCAACCACTATTAAGTTGGGAGTTACTAGGAAAAAAAAAGAACAGAGTTATAGAGCAAGGAAACGGTTGACAGAAGACTTAAAAAGTTGAAGGTTGTATGAGTCAGGAAAACATGAAGATGGGAGAGAGTTCTAAAGGATTGAAGTGCGGGGAAAAAAACTAGATGAATAAAAGTTTTTAGAGCATGCAGGGACAGATACAGAAAACGAATGAGACTTAGCTGAATGACGAGTAAAACAAGAATGAATTTTAGTTGATGGAACTAGAGATGATAACTCCTTTGAGCAGTGACCATGATAGTATCTGTAGAAAAGAGAAAGAGATGCAACTTTACGACGATGGGAAAGAAGTTCAAGCTTAGCAGATAGTCCAGGTCCAACAACATTTACAATGCGTTTTTGGACCTTGTCAAGAAGAGAAAGTGAATCGTTAGAAGAACCAGCCCAAATATGACAACAGTATTCCATACAGGGACGAATAAGAGATTTGTAGAGGTAGAGAATGGAATCTGAAGTAAGGAAACGGCGAGCACGATAAAGAGAAGCAACCTTAGCAGAAGCTAATTTAGCAATCGATTGTATATATGGTTTCCATGAAAGGTCAGTAGTAAGCGATAATCCAAGAAGACGTAAAGAGGACGACTCAGTAAAAGGATTGCCATTCATTAATATAGGAATGTTGACCATATTACGGTAGTTGTTTGCAGTAAGCAATTGGGTTTTTTTAGAGTTGAAATTCACAAGCCACTGTGAACCCCAATCTATTACTGAAGTGAAATCAGATTCAAGATCAGCTGCTTGTTCTAGGCGATCGAAAAGAGAGGACTTTTTGTCAAGACAGGAGTATAAAGTTGAGTCATCAGCAAAAAGAGCTACTTTAGATGAAAGGTTGTCAGGAAGATCGTTTATGTAGATAAGAAACAAAACAGGGCCCAGGATGGAACCTTGGGGAACCCCAGAAGTTACTGGAAATAAAGAAGAGTGTTGGCCTTCAAGGATGACTTTAATAAACCGGTCAGAAAGAAATGATTTAATAATCTCAAAAACTTTCCCAGAAACACCATATGAAGCAAGCTTATGGAGAAGACCAGTATGCCAAACTTTGTCGAAAGCTTTTAGAATTGATTGAAATTGATTAGAAATGATTAATTAGTTTATCAGTGGCGAAGATTTTGTTAAAGCAGAAATGGTTTTAAAAAAAAGTTGATAGGTTTAATTTATTTTTTGACTGTTAAGAAATTCAACCATAAACAATCACCCTCTCATTTAAAAAGAATAAACATAAGACGAATGTTTTAAAGAAAGAAAAAAATGAGTTAAAATAAATAAAAGTTTTTTAAAATAAGGAACTTTTTTTTTTTTTCAAAACAACATGTTTAAATTTTGTTTATATACTTTTTTTATAACAATATTGTTTTTTTTATAAAAATATTTTATAAAGATAAAGACTTACAATGACTTTCAAATTAAATTTTATTACAATGCAGTACTTTAAAATATGCAACTGACGTAAATAAACTTTAACAATTTAAATATGTTTATTTAGTAAAGTTACATTTACTCGCGTTACGCTTTTGTTATGCAACAAAATCTTATAACAAGGCCTGTTATTTGGTAACTGATAAAATTGGTAACCGATAAAATATAAAAAATATATAATAAATAAAAAATAAATTGTCAATTGATAAAATATAAAATATATTATATAAAAATATATTATATAAAAATATAAATATATAAATATATAATATATAAAATATATAAAATCAGTAAATCAGTAATAAACAAACAAAAGATTGTTATTATAAACTTAATTATAAGTTTGTTTTAGGAAATAAGTTATAAGGAAATCTTTTTCTAATACCGAATTTAGATTCTATCAATAACATTTGTTACATTAGTTTAAATGATTTTTAACGTTTAAAATCAAATTCTAATAAACTGCAGTACTTTAAAATACTTTCAATCTATAGTTTTAATAATTACAACACATTATAAGCTAAGAGTTTTAAAGTATTCGTAAATTGTTTTTTATTATTGTCAATACTTTGTTGTTGTAAAAAAGAGCGCCTAAACTTTTTTATAAAATAAATGTTCAATTTAAGTCAACAAATTAATAGCATATATGCTTTACCTAAATAACGACATGTGCTTTATCTAAAAATATTAAAAATATTATTTTTATTTATGCAAATTATTTCTAGTTTACACTTAGCCCAATAAGGAAAAATCACTAGAATATGCGAGAATTCCACTGAATCTGAAATTAAAAAAAAAAAAATAGCGACTGCTTACTCAAATTGTAGACAGGCGACCAAAATTACCAAACTAGTTACTTCCAGTTGCCCTTCTGGCAACCGACAAATCATCCCAGTGTATATATATATATATATATACATACATACATACATACATACATACATACATACATACATACATACATACATACATACATACATACATACATATATATATATATATATATATATATATATATATATATATATATATATATATCAGTTTTTATTTATGAAAATCTGTTATTAACTGTATTTTATCAATTAAGACTTATCAGAAATCAAAAATTTCTGATGAGTCTTAATTGATGAAACACAGTGTAAAATAAAAAAAGTTTGATAAGTGATTTTCTATTATTTTAATTTATTATTGCTTTATTCTTTTAAGAACATAGAGCACTTTATTTTGTAGAATAGATTTAAAATTATTTGCATTTGCAAAAACAAAAAATAAAATTAAACAATAGCAATGTACAATCACCTGGCAGAGCAGAATTTGAACATTTATTTTTCAATCGATTACAAGGACGTAGAGCAGCTGTAAGTTGTTCACAAGAAGCAGACACATTTTTCAAAAGCTAAAGAATTATTTTTAATAAAAATGAATCAAATATCAACAAAAAATATTTTTCTGGTGTTTGCATGTATAAGTAATACAAGATGCAAGAAGGTATCAACAACATAGCACACATTGGTTGATATTTGGGTAGTATAAAAGAAATTCAAAATTCGCTTTAATGGATATTGAATTGCTTTACTGATTTCTTCAGCAACTTTACTGAAGACTGAAAGTATTTGCATCTAATTGGTCACATAATTAAAGCTAGTCAGGCTGATTTAAAATTCATTGAAATAATTTTACCATAAAAAAAAATCTTTGTGTAAATGAAAATAGGTCATTCAAGCTGCCATCTAAAATCAAACCTTTGTTTTAATTACCTGAAAGACTTTTTTTCAGTTTTTATGCAATTTTCAAACAAGTGTGTGCAAGATGTAAAGGTTAAAAAATTTAAAATTAGTGATTTGAATTTGTTATAATAAAAGTAATAACATATAAATTTTAGAATGTAAAAATTACCTGCCATTCCTTATGAAGCTTGTTGTTGTCTTCTTTACGACAATAATCCTGATTAAGTGCAATTTCTAAATCTTCAATTGAAATTTCAGTAACACCAGAATACATATAATCCAATAATAAGTCATGAATAAAAATATATTGTATCTAAGGAATAATAAAGATATTTCAAATAAATTAAAAAAATTGAAAAAATAACTTTTTAAAAAATTTAAATAAATTTAAAAAACTTAAATAAATTTAAAAAAAATTTAACATAAATTATTTATTTGAAAGTTACAAAAGTGAAAAAACATTAATTTAACCTCCATTTGCACTAAGAAATTTCTTTGCAATCGAATGCTCTTCAAGAAATTGTAAACATCATAATTTCCTTTATCATCAAATTGTTTAATTTGAGAATCAATAACAATATATGTCCCTGTGCGTCCAACACCAGCACTGAAAAAACAATTTTTAGAAAATTACATTTGAAAAATTTAAAATTGTATACAATATTTTAAACTTTTTTTATTTTTAAAAACACATTTTTAATAAAAACTTGAAATTACAACAAAATCAAGATTATTACAAAAACTTCAGCAATGCACCTTTGATTATCGGGTGTCAAAAAATAAAAGGTGTGTAACTCACTCTATAAGTATTTACAAGGTTCACAAAGACTTTTTTTTTTCCACTGAGTTAAGGCGAACTACACCCATCTTTGAGTTTTGTTTAAAAAAAATTATTTCGTGAGAGTACAAAATTTTTATTCAATTTTTATTCAGAGCAAAATGATCAATAAATGGTTACTATTTAACAATTTTCTTTTGTTTTTAATTTAAATTTTAGCTTAATTATCTATTCTTAAAAAACAAAATACAAACCATAATTAAAAAGCGGTAATTTATTAGCTTTTAACTAACAATAAACTGTCTTTTAATTTTTTCACAGGTTTGTTGTAAACCCAGGTTTAACAAAATTAAAATCTTGTAGAATGGAGAATTCATATTTTTAATTCAGTACATATTAAACTTAGTAAATGTATTTTATATTTATAAGGTTGAAGGAAAAATATCAAAAGTATTTGTACAAAGTATAAATATAAATATGCTGAATTTAAAAGTAAAAGTAGTAGTAGTAGTAGTAGAAGTAGTAGTAGTAGTAGCAGTAGTAGTAGTAGTAGTAGTAGTAGTAGTAGTAGTAGTAGTAGTAGTAGTAGTAGTAGTAGTAGTAGTAATAGTAGTAGTAGTAGTAGTAGTAATAGTAGTAGTAGTAGTAGTAATAGTAGTAGTAGTAGTAGTAGTAGTAGTAGTAGTAGTAGTAGTAGTAGTAGTAGTAGTAGTAGTAGTAGTAGTAGTAGTAGTAGTAGTAATAGTAGTAGTAGTAGTAGTAGTAGTAGTAGTAGTAGTAGTAGTAGTAGTAATAGTAGTAGTAGTAATAGTAGTAGTAGTAGTAGTAGTAGTAGTAGTAGTAGTAGTAGTAGTAGTAGTAGTAGTAGTAGTAGTAGTAGTAGTAGTAGTAATAGTAGTATTAGTAGTAGTAGTAATAGTAGTAGTAGTAGTAGTAGTAGTAGTAGTAGTAGTAGTAGTAGTAGTAGTAGTAGTAGTAGTAGTAATAGTAGTAGTAGTAGTAATAGTAGTAGTAGTAGTAATAGTAGTAGTAGTAGTAATAGTAGTAGTAGTAGTAGTAGTAGTAGTAGTAGTAGTAGTAGTAGTAGTAGTAGTAGTAGTAGTAGTAGTAGTAGTAATAGTAGTAGTAGTAGTAATAGTAGTAGTAGTAGTAATAGTAGTAGTAGTAGTAATAGTAGTAGTAGTAGTAATAGTAGTAGTAGTAGTAGTAGTAGTAGTAGTAGTAGTAGTAGTAGTAGTAGTAGTAGTAATAGTAGTAGTAGTAGTAATAGTAGTAGTAGTAGTAGTAGTAGTAGTAGTAGTAGTAGTAGTAGTAGTAGTAGTAGTAGTAGTAGTAGTAGTAGTAGTAGTAGTAGTAGTAGTAGTAGTAATAGTAGTAGTAGTAGTAATAGTAGTAGTAGTAGTAATAGTAGTAGTAGTAGTAATAGTAGTAGTAGTAGTAGTAGTAGTAGTAGTAGTAGTAGTAGTAGTAGTAGTAGTAGTAGTAGTAGTAGTAGTAGTAATAGTAGTAGTAGTAGTAATAGTAGTAGTAGTAGTAATAGTAGTAGTAGTAGTAATAGTAGTAGTAGTAGTAATAGTAGTAGTAGTAGTAGTAGTAGTAGTAGTAGTAGTAGTAGTAGTAGTAGTAGTAGTAGTAGTAGTAGTAGTAGTAATAGTAGTAGTAGTAGTAATAGTAGTAGTAGTAGTAGTAGTAGTAGTAGTAGTAGTAGTAGTAGTAGTAGTAGTAGTAGTAGTAGTAGTAGTAGTAGTAGTAGTAGTAGCAGCAGCAGCAGTAGTATTGCCCACTCGTGCATGTTTGACACAGAACTCGTAGCAGCCATTAAAGCTGAGGTAATGGTGAGAAAATAAACTATTTTATAAATCTCTTATACCGATTGCAATTAATTAACACTTTAAAAGTGGCTTTTCTAAATAAGTGCGGCTTTATTGCAAAGCATACGCAAATTTATTATTATTATTTATTATTATTATTACATATACATGATATTATATCATATAAAATAATAAACAAATATGTTATATGCAAATATAAAATAATAAACAAATATGTTATATGCAAATATAAAATAATAAACAAATATGTTATATGCAAATATAAAATAATAAACAAATATGTTATATGCAAATGTAAAAAATCCTTTTATAAAATTTTCAAGTCGCATATAACTTAACTTTTTTAAATTTTCTAAAAACTTATAGTCTTTCTTGCTTAAACTGTTTTGTATTTGAAAAAGTTGCAAGATCGAAAAAAAAAAACATAAAAAGATTTTACACTTGGCATCCACATAATTGTCAGAATGTCGGATAGAGAGATCCAATAAAATTAAATTTTTGATATTGTGCTTTCTGCCGTTTTCCCCATTATTTTTATGATTTTCAAACAAGACAACAACTTTTTTCATTTTTATACTTTAGTTAACCCATGCCACCAAGCTATTGAAAAGTACAAAAATGTCAAAAATTCTACTGTTTCCTAATGAATCAAGAAATCAATTACAATTATTATATAACAATCCTGAAATGGTTTCTTGATGGTTTACATTTTGTAAAATTAAAATGTTTACTCATACTACAAACAACAAGAGATTTGAGATTTCACGTTGGTGCTTTCCAACTATTTCTAATAGATTTGTTTTCTTCTTTCTAAACTCATGTTGACTTCCGTTCAAATGAAAATCACAGCTATGTTTCAGGACAAGTATACCATATAGTATGTATTGATTTTTGTAGTTCTATCTATTCATTTATAAATAGTGAAAAATATGATTGTAACTTGATTATTTCAATGTAACAGTATTTAGCGTTATGTCATCAATCAAAATAGAATCTAGTATCAGGAACATACTCTATAATAAGCTCTATTTAAAAAAAATATAAACTCTGTTGTCTCTATATTTCCTCTTTTATAATTGTTCCAGCAAAGTCTGTGACAAGCTTGACTGCTCTCTCAGCCATGTCATTAACAACTCTGTGATTGTGAACAAACATGGGACCTTCATTATATGCTGCATTAGTCACTGGTTGCATCAGTGGTAAGTTCATCAAACTGTTGTCAATGTGTAAGAGCCTGAACACAAGACTTAACTGCAATCAAAGTTGAAAACTGTGTTGTTGAAGAAGTTGACAGCTGTGGAAATTTTAGCACTTCTTTTGAAAGACAGTTGCTAAATGACTTGCTTTTTTTTTGGAGTCTGAAAATAAAGTAAAGAAAAGTGCTAAGAATGCTATATTTTAAGTGAGATACAACAGGTGTCAATAAAGTGATGTCATCCACTTGTGCCGCAGCTAGATCAAAATTTTTATACCAAATGAGACCATTCCACAACTGCAGATCATTCACTGATGTATCTGCAGCCAAACATGCTGAAACCCATGCCTTAATGTAGAAAAAGGTATTGATTAAGCAAATAAGACACAACTTAATTCAACATAAATCAGCTGCTCATCAGATGCATATATTTTTGTACTGTACAGTATGGTTGCTATCCATTGGGCTGACTAAATTTTTCCAGGCTGAAACCTGCGTACACCACAAGATGGTTCTTCTCCCAGAAATACCATCAGGACGACTATCTGGAAAGTGCCAAACATCAGCTTGGCACTTTCTTAATAGTCGTCAACAGGCATTGAACATTCTGATGGATCATCAGATTCAGGCACAGACAGCAATTCAACAGTTTACAGACACAGACAGTGTTCAACAGTTTAAAAAAAAAGGCAACAACTACTTTTTGGTGATGTTTAAGTATACGCTAGCGAATGTCAAGCATTTTGTCACTGACATTATTGAGCATGTCATTTTTGGTTTTATTACATAAAAAATTGTGTTTTTAAAGAAAAAATGAAAAAAATGCATTTCTAATGTTTTTTTATGATAATTTTGATAAATTAGTTAAAAATATTTCGAAATGAATATTATTTTTGAAATATTTATATAATTTCGCTTCATTTGAGTACCAGGTTGACATATTTTTGAAAAACTTTTTTTTCGAAAATATTAGGGACCTATTAAATATTCGAGGGTCTTGAGGGACCCCTTAAAACATTTTTTATTCAAAAAAAATTTAAACCTAGTGTTTTTGTATTAGATAGAACACATTTAGGGGGTGAGAGCAGATTATTTTCAAAAATGTTGTTTTTTGGGACACCCTAATATATATATATATATATATATATATATATATATATATATATATATATATATATATATATATATATATATATATATATATATATATATATATATATATATATATATATATATATATATATATTATTTTTCTCAATTTAAAATAGATTTTAATTTTAACAATTGATCTTTTTTGCAAATTTTTTTTGCTGGGCAGTTGATACAAGGCACAATTTAATGAAAAGTAATATATTTTAAAAATGTACCTGCAATGGACAATGACGGGACTTGCAAGATCTGTGTGTTCTCTTGTTCGAAGAATAAATGATAAAAGAGTATAGCGATTCAAAGGAACTCCAAAATCAGGCCAGTCAATAAACTGATAATGCCAGACATCACGAATTTCTTCAAATATTAAATTATACTAGTTAATGAAATATTAATTTAAAGCAAAAAAAAATTAATAAAAGTAACTAAAAAAAAAAAGTTTTAAAAAGTCTTTTTTTTTAGATGTATAATCTGATCTAGTAAAAACCATCTCAAAAATCCCTTTTTAACCTAATTTGTTCGAAAATTTAAAACAAAATTAAAACATACAAGCAAATAAATTACTTTGAAAAAAAAATCCTTATAATTTATTCACCTTTTTTCTTTAAATTTTATTTTATTTTGCTATAGCTTAATAGTTCTTGCTTCATTGATTCCTGATGCTCCAATCAAAATCTTTTTGATTAAAGCACATTTAACCTTAGCCTAACTGTATTTTAGTTGTTTAGTTTAAAACTGTGATTTAACTTTTCAATGCTGTTCTAGAATAATTACTTTATCACAATTTAACACAATTTTATAATTTACTAACATAATAAACTAATAATAAAAAACTATTATTAAAAACTAATACTTTGTCAACTGTTGACATCGAAAGAATTCTTAAAAAGTTTTTAGTTTTGGTCCATAAAATTTGGCTTTTTTTAATTTGACTTAAAAATTAAGTCCAATTAATTTGACTTAAAAATGGACATTAAAAATGGAACAAAATGTCATTAAAAAAAAAAAGTCAAAAACGAATGAAAAATTGATGAAAATCAATGAAAATTATCTAACATACCTTCCCCCGTTTTTCTCACCAGGTATCTGTCAACATTTTTGTCAACAAAGCTTTACACAAATCTCAGTACTCCTGAAAGTATAAAAAATTGAAATTCAACATAAAAGTGTTTCATTTTAATCATGATGATTAGATCAAAACATGATGATTAAAATTCCAACAATTCCAACAAGAACCCATTTGATTTGATGCAGATTAGATTTAATGGTGATTTTATATATAAGAAGAAGAAGTGTACAAAGTAAAACTTATAGATAGTATACTTGTTGAGATAGTTGTATAGATAATATACTTGTATAGATAGTATACTTGTTGATTCAACAAAGTCCTAAGTTATTATAAGCCATGAATCAAAATCAACTTTTTTAGTAAAAGTTATCATATTAAATATATGGAAATACCTGATATAGAAATACCCCAAAACCAATTTTCTTAGTAAAAAATTATCTGAATATCTGGAAGCATATAAAAAAACAACGTCTGTTAACTTCTCGATTTACAAAAAGTCTCTCAATATTCCAGTGAATTTCAGTTAACTAATAAATTTTCAGTCAACTTTAAGACTCCTATCTCATTTATAAAAAAATTTCAAAATATATTTTGTTGTAAAAAATAGACTAATATGATGCAGATGATGGTGATGTTGATCAATATGCAGATGTTGCAAAATGTTTTAGCAATAAACAGCTTGATAGCATTTTTAAGTTCTCATTCAGGAGTGATCTGAAAGGTATTCAAATATTTTAATAATATTAGACTTATCATAGAAAAAATGCAATTAACATCAACAGCTTTTATATTAAATATGTTATCAGTATCAATAAAATTGTAAAAGTACTTAGGATGTCAATTAGATTCAACTATAGTTAAAAAAACATTTCAGAGGTTAAATAGAAACTATTAGAAATTATATAAAAATAATTTAAAAGTTATAAGAAAAATTTTTATAATATAAACAATTATTTAAATTATAACATTCATTAGACAGATGGGAGGTGGTGCAAGCTATTAAACCTTTAGTAATAATAAAAATACAAAGTGAGTGACAGTTGAACTATTTGAAATATGTCTTTGAACATTTGAGAGTTTTTTTGCAATTTCTTAATTTTATATAACAATTTTTTTTAAATAATTTATAAGAAGGATTTGTTCTTTACAATAAACATGTTTTAGTCTAATTTTTAAACTGCTTTATAAACAGCATTTTAATTTTGTTTAAGTGACTTTGTTTACTGTATGTACTCTAAAAACTTTTAGTTTTCTATTTTTTCTAACTTAGTAGTGGTTAAACTTAGTAGTGGTTGCTTGGAGCCTTGTTGGGAATAAATCAGAATAAAAAAATAACAATAAAAAAAAAAGAAGGCTGGTTAACACACTGCTTATCGTACTTAACCACAACACAACAAATAACATAACACAACAAATAACATTAAGGCTCAAATTAAGCATATCGGGATCAAATTATGATTGCTTTCCACACCTTAGTAATTTTTTTTTTTTAATTTAAAGAATTTATTATTTTTTTACTAATTTAGCATTTTTTTTGGCCATTCTAAAAGATATTGAATGTTTTTTTTTTGAGGTTTATATTAGTTTTTATTATCATAAAGTAGGTCACACTAAATTTAACTTTTAAATAGAAGTATGATCATTGGCGCTCTTGAACAAAGATTTTTATTCAACATAAAGTGATTTTAATTAATTTAAATCTCTGAGTGAAATCCAATAACTCTATTTTAAAGTTAAATTTAGTATAATTTACCTTATGGATAAAGTTCTTTACAGTAAATTTAACAATAAACTAAATCAAAACAACAAGTTATGTTACTCCAATTAAAGTTAAACATTTACACAACATAAAATTCTAAAAAATATGCACAAGATGTTTTTTAGAATTCATTTTAAACAGAAGTTTTAAGCAAGAAAATTAGTAAAAATTCTAAAAAAATTTTCATTAAATAATCTTAAATTTGTAATTAAAAAAAAAAAAAATTTTTAATTTTGCAAACTTTTAATGCTTGCGCACAATAATCGTAATTTCAATTGAATGGAAATAAAAAGTCATTCTTGAAAATCAAACAAAGATCTAGCTTAAGTAACAATATTATATAATACATAATAATACAGATTTAGAAGATAGTGCAGATGAGAAAGAAAGTTCTATTTTATATCTTACACATTTAATGGCTAAATATTTTTTCATCTTAAGCATTTTTAATTGCTAAATATTTTTTGTAAAGACACCAATTTTGTTTTGTTTTTTTTTTAAATAACTTAAAAAGTAGAAACATTCTATTGCAAACATTAAAGAAGTGAAACAAAAACTAAATTATATCAAATTTAAAATTAAAAAAATAAATTAAAATTCTGTAGAAAGTATTTTTTTTTCAAAAGAAACTTTAGGCATATACCTAGACTTAAGGAAACATAATTTGAATTATTAAACCAAAATTTTTTCTACCACTTTATCTTAGTTCAAATAATTTGAACAAAAAAATTTAATGAAAACATCAACTTTAAAACACTTTGAATGAAAAAATTAATTATACTTAAATTTTTCATAGTATGCAAGATTAATAAGCAATAAACATGGTTATAAACACAAGCAACAACATGGTATCTAATAACATGGTATCTAATAACATATTTGTTTTTTCGATTTGATTTCACCTGTTTTGTTTATAGATAAAATATAAAAGATATAAACAGGGCTGTGGAGTCGAGCCTGAGTTGCAACACTTTTCAGAGGAGTCGGAGTCGCTAAACAAAATCGCGACTCCGACTCAAATAGTAAAACTTCTTGGTATTACACGTGCATGTACAAAACATTAAATTAACCTTATGTTCGTACTAAACCTCAAAGAAAATTTCATAAATTTGTTAAAAAAAATTTGTTTAACTTATTGCGTTATATTTTTTGAAGAATTCAGAGTTTTTCAAAATTTTTGCATTGGAGTTGGAGTTGGAGTCGGAGTTGTACTCAAAAAATTTCAACTACTGGAGTCGGAGTCGTTACTTTTTTTTTTACGACTCCACACCCCTGGATATAAAGTATGTTTTTGCAATGATATTAAGTTTCAAGATTTATGACAATAATACTTTCATCAATTCTAATTTACTAATTAGAATATTTCTATTTAATTACTTTATTTTATTTTAAATGTGTTTTTAAATGTTATTAAATTTTTTATTTTATTTTATATGTGTTTTTAATGTTATAAACTGTATAAAACAGCAATAAAATAATGTTTTTATCATCACCATGAACATATATTTATCATCACCATGAACAAGCTTACATGATTTAATTTTTTATTTCCAAACTATAATTAATGAAAATGCAGTTGTATTTATTGAAAAAGTACTCCATCTGCTTCCAGGTGGAGCATCATATTCTATAATTGGATAAATTCCAAATGTATTTACTCAAAAGGTCATTTAGAAGTTATATTGAGTTTTTCAGCTAACTTAGATCCTACGGTTTATTCGCAATTTTTTTTCAAGAGATAGCATAATCGATTGGTGAACAACCGTGAACATGCAATACTGGTTAGAAATCATGTTAAATTATCTCAGTTTTACAATTATGGACCTTAAGTATAACAAAAAATCTGTTCAATATTTTATGACCAGAGACTATTTTAGTCAAATCCATCCTCTAAATTGGAACTAGGTATTATAATTATTGTTTGCTGTTTACTTAAGTTTGCAGCATATTATGATGAAAAACTTAAAAATTACCTAATAAACTAATAAAATTACAAGTTGTTCTCATGGAGAATTAGAATGTTTTGTTCAAATTGAAGAGCAATTGTCTCGCTTTCATAGAAACAAGAGATAAAAAAATATACAAATTTATTTTTAAATGTTGTTAATTGATAGTTTATGATAAGTATGTTTACATGTGTAATAAATTAAATGTTAATAGTTTATTAAATATGTACTTAAAATATAATGTGTTCAAAATTTATGTATGTTTTAATGTAAATTTATTCTGTTTTTTTTTTTATGTTTTAAAATTGGTGTTAATCACTAATCAACAGTTATGAAGAAACTGGAATTCTAAACTATTGAGGTAAAAACAATTTTGTTTAGTGGTAAGCTTTTTTTTACGGTAATTGTGTTATAGTTATTTTGTGCTAATATATTATTTTTGTCATTGTCATTAAAAATAAAATCTTTATTTATGATCATAATAATTTATTTTATGTTTTTAATTTTTTTTAAACACAGTGCCTTTAAAACACAGCCTGCCTCCTCTCTTAAAGGAAGGTTTATTAATAAAGGGGAGCTTTAT